CTCTCTCCCGGGTTCCCCCCTTTCCAGCAGGTGCTGGTTAACCCGCAGCTACCCCACGTCCCTGCCCTACCAAAGCCCACTGAGTACTGCAGTCCCCTCTCCCGGCACAAAAGCTGGGGGGTGAGACCCAGAACTGCTCAGACCCCAATGACCAGACAGCAGTGCTGGGAGGGAGGAGCCCTGGGCAGGGGGAGGGCAGGGGAGGGCTGTAGGGCAGCTCCCTGCAGGGGAGGCACTGGGCTGGGGGAGAGGGAAGCCGGCTCCAGGTCCGGCTCTGCCCAGTGTGACCCGGGACAAGTTCCCCCCCGAGGGAGCCCATCCTCTGTGAAAGGTCCCCTCGAAGACCCTCCAGCTGTGACATTCTGGGACTGGGAGTCTCCCCCCAGACGGGACTGGCCTGTCGCTTCCCCAAGACCTCTGCTCTGTGTCTTCCTCCCGTCCTGTGCTCGTCCTGCGTCCTGACAGGGACTGACAGCTGGGAGCCTGCTTGGGGCCCCTTCAGAACCCAGAGCCCAGGCCTTTCTGTGGTCCCAGCCTCAGCCCTCCAAGGAGGGAGGGGATGCTCTCTTCGAGGCCCCCGGCAATCCTCTGGCCTCTGCCGTCTCTGTCTCTGCCCCTGAGCGGGGTCTGCAGAGCACCGGCTGCAGGACCCTGGCTCCCGCCCCAGTGTGTGGACCCCGGTCGGCACGGCCCGCTCAGGACAGCGAGGTGCAGCAGGAGCCGCTGAGAAGCTGGGCACGAACCGCCTGGCAGGAGCCGCGCAGGTGCTGCCTGTGGTCACCAGCACCGCCAGCTTCTGTCTCCCTGTCCCCCTGGGGCGGACCCCTCTGACCCACGGGGGGCGGCACTGAGAGGGACGGGGTGGGCTCAGAATTCCTGGGGAGCAGCCGGCGGGCAGGTGCCGCCCTGTGGACGGAACCGCTATCCCTCGGGGAGCCCTAGGCACAGCCCCCCTGTTGGAACAAGCCTGCTTCTCTGACTCGGGGTTAGGATCCTGTGTGCACCAGACTCTGCACATTTCCACAGGAGATGAGCCCTGGCCGCCTGGACTGGGGTGGGGACCCGGGTGTGACAGGACACTGTTGTTCTGTGCATGAATTTATGAGGAAGCCCGGTCACAGGAAGAGTCAAAGTCCAGCCCTTTACGGGCCACCAGGAACCCCGATCGATTTACCCAGATGTCCTGTGTGTGCACGGGTTTATCGTGTTTGTGGCCGCATAGAGAGAGGACGCACATCCTTGATGGTGCTGACTTTTGGGAGGAGGCACCCCTGGAACTTCTACTTGAATCAACCCCAGGATCCGTAGGATCACTTTGGATGAGCACAGAATACTTTCCAATCACAAGACGACCCATTGAGCAGAGGGGACGTGCCCACACCAAGTCGAGGGCACAGTAGACATTGTTCTCAGCCGTGCGTGGGAGAACGCGTAGCTGGTCCTCCCTCCATCTCCACCACTCTGCCCAGCAGCTCGGGGGTCTCGGCTACCTGGTGACGGGGGACGGGACAGGGGCCACGGAAGCCAGCTGCTGTGGACAGAGTCAGGAGAGTCCTCTCGGTCAGGAAGGCCCTGGCCGGACTTTGGCTCCCCGTGGACACCGATAGGGTCACACCATGGATGTCTGTGTCCCGGGGGCCCATCCGTGACCCCAGGAGGAGCCCCCGAGAGGGGCAGCTCGGGCAGAGACATGGGCTCCATCCTGGGTCCGGGAAGGCCGGGCTGATCCCAGGTGTGCTTGGTCAAGAATAACCGTCGTGGTCGTGAGAGCTGCTCACTGGGATGGGAAGGCCTCCCTCTCCTGAAACCCTAGCACTCATTCTGGGAGGGCAGCACGGCTATTATGTCCCTGTCCCAGAGGGAAGGCTGAAGGCAGGGAGGTCACGGGACTGCTCCTGTCCACACGCTCACGGGTCGGAGGACCTGGTCTCACGCCTCCCGGACCCTCCCGTCCAGGCTACCGACCGCCCTGCTGCACCTGACCTCCCGGTCTGACCCCAGCACACTCCCTGTGTGTCAGACTCACACACGAACACTGAAATAAGAAGGCTCTGGAAGGAAACAAGAGAGAATTAGGAGCATACTTTGAGGTGGGGGGTGATCTTTTGATGCCAGAGGTAAACCAGTAAGCCTTAAATGATCCATCTGTTTAACTTCATGAGGACAATGGCAGGGCGAATAGTCCAGAGATAATGATGAAAGGCAAGCCGGAAACTGTTTATATTATTTTGTTGGAAAACAGGCTAATCTTACTAATACAAGTCTAGCTCTACATGCTAATAAGAAAAACAGAATCACGGGCAGAGGACATGAGCCGACAGCTCACAGCGGCCAGAAAAGGAGATCAATAGTCATGGGACATGGTGACCGGGTTCATGTACAGGAGGAATGCTCATTCCAATACGAAGTGATATTATTTTCCCTTATCAATGTTGCAAAGGGCAGAAAGTTCGGTCACCGTGTGTTGGTGGGAAACCTAAGCATTACTGGGAGGAGAGCAGTGGGGGTCGCTCTCGGGAGGACGATGAGCAAGGTCTGTCAGAGGCTGAGATGGACCTGCCTTTGGTCCATTAGACCCACCCAGGGGTTATCCCAGTGTCTACACACCGTGTGTGACCTATATACACTAAGTGTGGTGTGGATGAACCAGCGTGTGATGTATATGCCCGTGTGTGTGACGTATGAACACCCGAGTGTGATGGATGTGCCCCCGTGTGTGAGGCAGAATACGCTCCCACGTGCTGTGTGTCCATCAGCACGAGATAGACATGCCCTGTGAGTGACACGCATGCCCCGCCTACAACAGGTACACCCCCATGGGTGAGGCATGTGCACCTGTCGAATTCTGTGCACCGAGTGTGACGGATGTGCCCCCGCGTGTGACGTGCGGACATCCGTGTGTGCAGAGCCTCCAATCCCAGGCTGCTCAGTGGGACCGTGTTTGCAGGGACAAGAGCACCCTGACTGCCCGGCACACGTGGAAGGAACTAGAGCCCACGTGGGGCCGTGGGCAGCTGATCACAAGACTCTTGCCCGCGTGCAGACGCAGGTGCAGCCCTGCCCGAGCCGTGCAGAGAAGAGGGGGGAGCAGAGCAGCGGGCGGCGTGGGGTCGGGCACGTGGAGACACACGTAGGTGCCTGTCAGTGCAGAGACCCCCTCCGGAGGGACACACTCGAACCTGGAAGAGCACAGGCCTGTGGGAAGGGCAACTGGGCAGCGGGGCTCAGAGGTCGGAGAGAGGATGCATTTCCATCTCCAGCGCCCCTCCTTTACTGGAATGCAGAATCTGCTTAACATTTAACACAATTTAAAAGCTGCTGAGTGTGGCTGAAATACAACCTTCCCATCCTTGGAACGGGGACAACACTCTGCAACCCGCCACCTTCAGTGGGTTGTCCTGGGATCCTTAGACGCTCAGCATCTGACGGAGCCGCTGAAATGTAGGGAATGGGAATCACGTTCATGGGGAACCCTGGTCTCGGGTGAGCAAGCGGCAGGTGGATCCCGCTACCTGTCAGTTCCCCCCCAGGCCCTAATACAGTGAGGACGGCGACAAGGAAACACTTACTGTGGGTGATTTTCCTGTGTCGTCACATTTAATCCTTGCAGGAGCCCCGTGGACACGCTCAGCTCTCGTCCCCGTGCTTCCCATGCGGGACCTCGAGGCTTAGACAGTTGAGGAAATCGCCCAAGGCCTCTCAGCTGGTAAAGGGCAGATCTGGAACCTGAACACAGGTCTGTCTCACCCCAGAGCTCACGCCTCAGGGACCTGCTGGCCAAGAGCCCAGGCCTGGATCCCCAGGAGCCCTCACCCGGTCCACATGGCGTGGGGGCCATGCTAGCTGGGCTCCTGCCTCAGTTACCTGGGGCTGTCAAAAGAAGACAGCATAGACCCGGCAGCTTAAACAACAGAATCTTTTATTCACACAGTTCTGGAGGATGAGAGTACAAAATCAAGGTTTGGGCCAATACGGAGAGGGACTGAACGCTGTGCTGTGGGACTCATGACATTAGTGTCCCGATATGCTAGGAGGGATGGGGTAGCCTAGCCGTGTCAGTGACCCAACTCAGTGGACCTTGTGGGGGCCAGATTGGGGCCTCACCTCTCCCTGGCTGTCACCTGCTGGGGTAACCAGCCGCCCCCTCAGCGCCTGGACACACACCAGGTGTGGGCTCCCAGCTCGAGTGGGTCAGGACCCAGGGGGGCTTGGCTGGGTCTCAGGCCCGGGGTGTCTGGGACGGACACTAAGGTCTGACTGGGGCTGCTGGGACGGACACTAAGGTCTGACTGGGGCTGCAGGGAGCTCAAGGGTCACCCGGGAGATGTGCGTCCAGGCTCCCGCGGGCACTTGCTGGCGGGGTGCTCTTCCTGTGTCTGCTGGACGGAGGCCTCACCCCTCCCTGGCTGTTGGCCGAGGCTGCCCTCCGTCCCTCCTCATGGGGGTCTTTCCACGGGGCTGCCCACAACACGGCGGCGGGCTTCATCAGAGCGAGCAGGAGACAGAGTGAGCGCAAGACCCTGTCACACCCTTGTAGGACCTGCTGTCCCTGAGGGCCATCCATCACGTCGGAGGCACACGGCTCCTTAGAGGCGAGTCCCTGGGGGCGGCCCCCAGTCCAGGGACAGAGCTTGCACGGCCTATGGGCAGGAGGGGTCTCTGCAGCCCCATGAGAAACTGCCTCCTGCAGAGATGCACTCGGTGTGGACGGAAAATGTGCTCGTGCTTCGGATCCCAGATCTCCTGACATTCATGCTCTTGCTGTTAGGGCTCAGGACAGTGCAGGGGAGCAAGTTCACGTGACCTGTTCAAGGGATGCTCCCCGGGGACCAGGAGGGATTCCAGCCTCGCCTCAGGTTCATGGCACCGTCCTGCCTTCCAAGACTCAAGGAGAGCACATAGGATGGATTTCATGAAGAAGATGGGTTCTAGGGTTTTCTCCTTTATTCTTGGCAAAAACCACTCACATTTTCTGTGTCCTATGTCCTAGGCGTCTGCAGTGCTGTGACCCAGAGTTCTGGAGCCCATGCTTCTGGAGTTGAGGATTCTGGAATCCCTGTTTCTCTGAAGGGGACTCAAGGAGCTTCTGTGTGGTTTCATGTGATCAGAAGTCCAGAATTACCTCCAGAGGTCGAGCTGGAGAAGATTTCATGGGGCATTGTATCCGGGTCATACTACATAGCCATGCTGCACGTGTTTCCTGGGAGAGATGTTCCAGAATGGGTCAACTTGCAGGACAAGTTCGAGAAGAGGGTCCATGTGCTCAACGTAACGACCCTGAGGATTGATAACCTGACCCTTGAGGACAGTGGGCGGTACCGGGCTCGAGAGTCCTACAGGAGAGGAAGACAGCATGACCAGGATTTCCACCTGAGGGTCTACGGTACGTGGCGGCCCCTCCCCCAGTCCCATAGCTGACCTCCTTCCTCTGTCCCTGGGAGTGTCCACGCACCCCGCTTGCAGGATTCCTTCCCGACCCCAGCCTTCAGACATGATCTTCTCCGCTCAAATTGGATGCCGTGTGTCCATCACAAATGCAGGCAGAGCGGAGACTCACACGAGGGATAAGTCACTTTGGTGCTTCAGGAGTGGAACAGGGAATGGGGGGAGATGGGGATTTTGCCATAACACTCACTGTGCCCACGGGACTCAGGGCACTCAGTGTGACTATTAGCTGTCCAGTGCTGCTGTGGCTGGTGACTGACCCTCATGGCTGACCACACCACCACCTGCGCGTCCTCCTGGGCTGTGGAGCAGGAGTCAGACCCCAGAGCCTCTGCCATGAGGTCCAGGTGTCGGCAGGGCTGTGCTCCTCTCTGGAGGCCCGGGGAGAATCCATTTCTGTTCCCGTCCCCCCTTCTAGTGGCGCCCGCATCCCCTGGCTCGTGGCCCCTTCCTCCCCCTTCACAGCCGGCACTGGTGGGATGAGCCCCTCTGATGCTGCATCCTCCCACCTCCTCTCCTGCCTCCTTCCACTTGAGAGGACCCTGTGATTACATAGGGCCTGTCCGGGATTCCAGACCAGCTCTCGTTTAGGGTCAGCTGGTTCGCAGCCTCATTTTCCCTTTGCCATGGAACCTAAGACACCTGCAGGTTCTGAGGGTCGGCACGTGGCCATGGTTGGGGGACACTGCTAGGACATCCTAGCAGGATCTGGAATCCCGCGTGTGGTTCTCACCGCCCCGTCCCCTTGTCCTTCTCAGCTCCAGCCCGAGGCCAGCTCACTCTCAGACTCCACAGGTCCAGCTCTGAACCTCCACAGATGTAGGAGAAGGTCACAGACAACCCTTCCTCAGACACTCAGTGAGCAGCTCTCTCTCCCTGCACCCACCCCCTCCTCTGCACAGGGAGACGTCCTGCTCCCGAGAGAGTGGCCTTTGCAGACTCAGGTCCGGGAGATTCCCAAGACTGATGTCACCCTGTCCCTTGTCTTTCTGGGTGGACCCAAGTTCAGGGCATGATGTGACCACACTCAAGGAGGCCATTTCTAGGAACCACCACTGTGTCCCCCACCACGGTCTCTCCTGGTGGGAGTCTGGGGCTGTTTCTGGGCTCCCAGAGCTGTCCAGTGGCCTAATGCACCAGGGACTGTGCAGTCCTGGGCACCATTCGAGCAGGAGAAGCAGGGCCAGGGTCTGGACCAGGAAAATCTTTTACAACTTTCCCTTCTTCTAGGTGACACTGCACTGTCTTAGAATTAATGGGTTTCGGTAGGTGGATCTAGCATTTATTTTATCAAGGGAGATTTTTAAGACCTGTTTAGTCTAGTGAAATCACATAGAGCTGAACTCAGTGGCTCCCTTCCTTATTGGCACTTGCTATGTTTTTGGGTCAGTGTTGTGTTATCTGTAAAATGCAATCACCATCCTTAGGGGGAGGAAGCCAGAGCTTCAGGGAGATACCGCAGGAGAAAGCATGAGCTGGGATGTTCTCCACTCACGTGCAGCTCTGTCCTCTTGTCCCTCCCACCCCAGAGCCCGCGCCTCTTCCCCAGATCCGGGCCACGGTTCTGTCCCTCACACCAGGCTGGTGCAACGTCACTGTGGAGTGTGACACCACGGGAACCAGGGAGGACCTGATCGTGTCCTGGGAGAGCGAGGGTCTCCCCAAGGAGCTGGAGCAGAGACCTTCCCCAGGACCAGTCCCCAACCCCTGGACCCTGGCTGTGAACCTGCCCCTGAGCCAGCCCAGCTCCAGCCTCACCTGTGTGGTCAGCAACCAGGTGGACCAGAAAACTGCCACCCGGGGCCTTGGGAACATTTGTGGCCACAGTGAGTACATCCTGCCAGAGGGGAGGGGCTCTCCGGGAGCTCAGGCAGCCCTGGGTGAGGGTTCCCGGCCTCTGTCTTCCACGTTTATGTCACCACCTGCTACCTGGTCACACTCCAGGACTCTGGCAGGCACATCCAACATGCTCTTGCCTTTCTCAGTGTCCCTCCCCTTCCTCCCTACCTCTCACCCCTGCTGGTCCAGGCAGCACCCAGCAGGTACCTTTCCCCACCCTCATCCATCATTCCCTGTGTGTCCAGGGTGGTTTTCAGGAGAAGCGAGTTGGGGGTGTCAGTGGTCTGTGCCATCTGAGGGGTCTGAGCCAGTGAATCAGGATTCAGGGCTCGGGGTTCCTCTGCCCGTTTCTGGTCTCACGGACATACTTCACACCCACCTGCTTGCCTGCATTCCCGGCTGGGTCCTGCTGTCCTCAGCTTCCAGCCTCGGCTCAGGCCCCTCCCTCTGCCCTTGGCCCTTCCAAATCAGGAGTCCTCCACTCCCCCACTTCTTCCTGTCCAGGGACCCCTTCCCTGTAGCTGGCTCGGGGACCCTGTGATCCAAGCAGTCCCACAGGGCCACGTGCTGGGTGCAGTTCCAGCATGAAGAGAGTTTGCACAGGGGCTCCTCAGCCTGGATGGCTCAGGGCCCTGCAGGAGCTGCTGCTGTCCTGCCCTCACACCTCGTCTCCTCTAAGGAGCGGTCAGTGACCCCACACTGAGAGCTGATGCTCTGGCCCAGAATCAGTCTCCTCTGTAGCCTGAACCTCTGGAGGGCAGGGGTCATGTCTGCTTCTACTTTGAATGCCTGTCCCACCCTCGGCCTCGGGCAGTTTGCTCACAGTCACTGTGTCCCTGAATGTATGAATGAATGAATGACCTGGTTCCCCCTGTGCCCCCTCACCCCTCCACCCCCTCCTCCAGCTGGTGGGGGACAAGGTGAGGCTGGGAGAGGAGGCAGCTGGACCTGCTGCCTCAGCATCCCTGATCCCAGAGGAAGCTCATGGCTCAGTGACCCACTGGACCCTCTGGAAAGAGGCTCCTGCCTCCGTCTCATCCTCCTACTGGGCTCCTCCCTGCCTGGTCCCGCTCCCGCCTGCCCCAGGGGCTGCTGGCTGCTCCCAGGGCTGGAGAGTTGACCCAGACATCCTGTTCATGGCTCTCCTTCCTGGAATGCCGCACCCACCCCGAATATCGGGGAATCTCCTACTCCTCCCTCGAGACAAGGTTTCCCCATCACCTCCTCCAGGAGGCCCTCCCTGAGGACCTGGGTACAAGCTGTAAAGCTCTCGTGCCCTGGCATGGCTCTGGCTGGCTGCCTCTGGCATGTTCTCAGCCCTCCCCCCACTGAGGAGCTCCTCAAGGGCGGGCACCATGTCCTGTTCCTCTCAGCACCTCGGCCCCAGGCAGGAGCTCAGGAACTGGCTGAGTGAAAGCACCTGCCATACTCCTCCCTCTGCGGCTTCTGACCAGGTCCCTTCAGACGTCTCCATGTGCCTGGCAATGGGCGTCCTCAGTTCTCTGTGTCTTAACCTTCTTCACTCTTCACTTCAAGCAGAAGTTCTAGTTCCTGACAGCATTAACTGACTGCATTGGTAGACACCTGTGTCCCTCTCTCTCCTGTCCCCACTTCAGTTCTCTGTGTCTTAACCTTCTTCACTCTGTCCTTCTTCAACCAGGACAGGCTGGCACTGCCCTCCTGGGAGGCATCCTGGGGGCCATTGTGGCCGTGCTGCTGATCCTCGGAGCTGGACTATATCTTTGGAAGAGACGTGGGAAGAAGAACTTGAAGCCTGGGAGAGGCAGGTTGCACTTTCCCTCCCCCACTGGACCCTGGACACCCTTTCTCCTGCATTTTGCAGCTCAGGGCATGTCCCTGTAGGTGGCGGCTGGTGTGGCCTTGGCCGTGGGGGTCATAGAGTCGGGGAGGGTCCAGGTGGCCAGGCTCAGACTCAAGCTCCATCTGTGTATGACTCAGGTGCAGGATCGCAGAAGGAGCACGGGGACCCGGATGGTGGCATCCACTATGCAGAGCTGAGCCAGCAGGAGGCTGGAGACAACAGGGACAAGGTGAGGCTGGGAGAGGAGGCAGCCTGGGTTCTCCCAAGTCCCTCTGTGCCTGGGTGTGTGCCTGTCAATCCCAGTTATCTACACGTTCTGGCCTCGATGCCTCTGTAACCCTTTCCAGACAAGGCAGTATTAACTAAGAAAATTCTCCTGGGGTCCATGCAGTGCTGGGCGCTGGGGCAGGTCTTGTCAGCAGCACTGGGTCTGTGTGGGTCCCTCTGGGCTGTCTGTGTCCCTCAGGAACCCTCTGTCTGCATTCCAGGGTAGGGGTGCACCACATCTAGAAGAGGAGACCTCTCTCATTACCGTCTACAGTGAGGTCCGCAGGCCAGGCCAGGCCGTGAGCATGATTCCCTAACGGGAAGAAGCAGGAGAATCCCGCCCTCCGGGGACATCTGTCTTGTGAGCCTGATGCCCGAAGCTCTGGTCCTGCCTTTTCCCCCTCTCACTGCTCTGAGAAGGGACTGCGTGGATCCAACTATCAGCTATTTCTATGCTAAATTGTTCTGCACAAGTTCCCCGTGAGACCCAATATCCTGCCTCAACCAATCTTGGACACCAGCCAGCATCAATCATGTGCTGAGAGCTGTTCACAGACGACGTGAATCCGTAATCGTCAGCGCTGGCTGAGTGCTGGCCCGGTGACACGCACTCTCTGACCATTCTGCCCGCTCCTAACGCACCGGGTCCTCGTGGACTGTCTGTGAGGTGGGGATCGTTGTGCCCACTTTACAGATCAGTAGAAGGAGCCAGAAAGGCTGACTCTCCAGGCCGCATAGCCGGGAGCCCCGGAGTCAGGACTCAGCCCAGGGAACGTGCTCCAGGGCCCGTCTCTCCAGCCCTCGGCTGTCCCCTGTAGTGGCAAACCTCCTTCTGTCCTGTCCTGTTGGCCAATGGCCCAGCCTCCTGTTGCTCAGGAAAAAGCCGAAGTTCTAGTTCCTGACAGTTAGCGTTAACTGACTGCCTTGGTAGACACCTGTGTCCCTCTCTCTCCTGTCGCCATGGAGGACGCTGAGCTCCTCGGGGCTCAGTGAGGACTTTTCCCTGCACTTCAAGGCCCTTCTCTGGGGACCTGTCCTCTCCTGCATTCCTGTCTCTGGCTCGTCCCCGTGACCCTGCTGGCTCCTTCCCTGTAGCCCTCAGCTGGTCTCCGTGCTGCCCCTGCTCCATACCTGAGCCCCCACCTTGACCTCACCTTATGGGGACCCCTAGAGAGCCAGGAGGTGGCCCCCATGTGACACCATTGATGCCCCTTTCCTGCGCCAACGCCCTCTGCCCTCGGGTCCCTGACGGCCACTCTCCTGGACCCCCTGGCCCACCTGCCACCCTCCCAGACTCCTCAGCCGTCCCTCCAGGGCTGCTCTTCATTCACAGGGCGGCACTTCCGAGGGTCTGGGCAGGACCCTTCCCATCTCCTAGTGTCTTTCTCTCTCTGGGGCCCCTGCTCCAGGAATTCAGTGACCAGTCACACCGCTGATGCCCAGGCCTGCCTCCCCGCCCCACGCCCTCTGCTCAGCCCCACCCCTGCCCTCCAGCCCCATCGGCCACATCCCTGCCCCTGTGCCCTCCTCCACCCTCTCCTCCTGCGGTCACAGACCCTACTTCCCTTTCTGTAATACCAGGACCTGGTGAGAAAGAGCAGGAACTCCTCTCCCACAGGAAGGAAAACAGAAGCAATTTTGTGTAATCAGACAATAAATGTGCACATGTTGTTTGTGGGAGAGGTGGGAGCAGTTCACCTGAGCCCAAGAAAAATACTATAGGGTCACCTCTCGGTATGGGACACATTTTCTCTCCTTCCATGCTCTACCACCATTCCCCCAGGTGACGAAGCAGCCTGCGGTTTGCCCGAATTAGTAATTCAAGCAAGACAAAAGTGGGTTTCAATTGTCCCTTCCTCTCCAGCTCCAGTGGAAACGGGTCGATCCCCTGAGATCAGAGGAAAGCAGAGAAGCTTATCATCCCTAAAACCTCAGCGTCTGCACGGGCACCCACACGCACATGCACACGCACACACACACACAGACACCAGCCTCCAGCCAGGCAGCTACGTGTGGGTCAGAACTAGGTCTGTCCCACAAACATGCAGATCACAATATGAAGGAGGACTCTAAGTGTCTGGACAGCTGGCAGAGCAGGGCCGTGTCTCTGAATCGTGCAGTCCATTTCCGAGCTCAGCTCCTTTCCCTCCAGGGTCCCTACAGCTCACCCTTGCTGGTGGGTGGGGAGCAGGGAAAAACCATTTCCCGGACACTGGGATGCGGTAACTCCAGCAGGTGGTGGGTGATGTTGGCATTAGTCACACTGCACACGGTCGGTGACAGATGTTTGACATGATTCCTATTCTCAGTCTAGACCGGACAGTGGGGGGTGAGGGCTGGAGGTGAGAACACGAGCCCACGGTACCCCCCACAGAGCCTCACGGGGCTCCCTGGCTCCCATGCCCTGTCCCACCCTCTCACCCTTTCTGTGGAGCTGGACTAGATGCCTCTCCATGTCTGCAGACCACTCAAGAGCCTCAGGGTTCTCCCCACGACCCGCAGCACAAACTTCTAAATCTGTGTTCAAGTCCTAACGAGTGTAATGACGGGGGCCTTCCCTCCCTGTTGGCCTTATATCCTGCAGTCTTGGTGAACTCACTAGTCCTAGGAATTTTGTGTGGATTCCTTGAGATTTTCTGTGCACACAAACATATAAACAATGTCTATAACAAACACAGATGATTTCTTTCTCCTTTTCAATCTATATATTATTTCCTTTTCTTGTCTTATTGCACTGACCAGACTCCCAGGAGAATGTGGAATAGCAGTGCTGAGAACAAACAGCCTTGCCTCCTTCCCAATATTAAGGGAAAAGCTAGTTTTTCACCACGAAGTGTGCTATTAACGGTAGGGAATTTTTTAAATATGCTTTATTAGATTTATCAGTTTCATTATCTCTGCTCTTGTCTTTCCTATATCCTTTTTCCACTTGCTCTGGGTTTATTTTGCTCTTACTTTTCTAGATTCATGAGGTAAATGCTTAAATTATTAATTTGAGCATTTCTTCTTTTGTAATATCTGCTTCTCATTATATATATTACCATATAAGCCCTGGGTTAGCTTCTTGTCACACATTTTGATATCTTGTGTTTTTCATTACCATTCACTTCAAATATTTAAAATTTCCCTCAAGATTTCCTCTTTAACTCATGGGTTATTAAGGAGTGGATGTTTAATTTCTGCATGTTTGCAAATTTTCCTGTTATTTTTCTGTTTATAAATTCTACTCCAGGGGCATCTGGGTGGCTCAGTGGGTTCAACATTGGCCTTCGGCTGAGGTCGTGATCCCAGGGTCCTGGGATCGAGCTTTGGGTCAGACTCCCTGCTCAGCAGTTCTCTGCTTCCCCCTCCCCAATGCTCATGCTCTCTCTCTCTCTCTCTCTCTAATAAATAAATAAAATATTTTTTAAAATGCTACTCTAATTCTACTATGGTCAGAGAAATACATTATTTTAAATCTTTAACATTGTCAAGCTTTGTGTTATGACCCAGGACAGGATGTAATCTTGGGGAGGTTCCCATGTGCACTTGAAAGGAATGTGTAGTCTGCTGTTGGGGTTGAATGTTCTCTAAATATCAATGAGGTGGAATGGGCTCATGGTGGTGTTTATTGTCTGTATTCTTGCTGATTTTCCATCCGCTAGCTCCGCTCTGCTCTCTGACTGGGACACTGGATTCATTATTATTATTCATATTTCTATCCTGTCAGTTTCTGCTTCATGTGTTTGGTGCTCTGCTGTTAGGTGCACACAAACCTAAGATACTTCTCGTTTCCTGCTGAGTTGACCTTTCGTTATTCTGTACTATTTTTCATCCCTGGAAATTCTCCTTGCTCTGAAGTCTGCTCTCTCTCATGTTAACTGAACCTTCGAGCTGTCTTTGAATTAGTGTTTGTGTGGTGTCATCATTCATTTCATGAATCAATTTGGCTGGGCCGCAGTGCCAAGAGTTGTGGTCAAGTATTATTCTGGATGTTTCTAGGAGGAGACTTTGGATGAGATACACTTAAATGGATGAACTTTGAGTAAAGCAGACTGCCCTCCACAATGTGGGTGGGCCCCTCCAATCAGTTGAAGGCTGAGCAGGAGCAACGACTGACCTCCCCTGAGCAAGAAAGAATTCTACAGCAGATGGCCATTGGACTAGAACTATAGCACTGACTCTTCCTTGTGTCTCCTCCTGACGACCCTGGACTTGAAACCCAGCAGCAGATCTTCCCTGCTTCTCAGCCTGGCTCACCCGCCCTGCAGGCTCTAGACTCACCAGGCTCTATAATAATGTGAGCCATTCTTTACAGTACATCTCTCTGGATTTATAAGCATCCTATAATTCTGCTTTCCTGGAGAATCCTGAGTACTATCCACAGCACATCTTTTCCTATCTTTTTCCTGCTAACCCAGCTCTATCAGGCCAGACTGGGAACTGTGGTTCCAGAGTGACCTGGGCCCTTCAGTCCTGTGTCCACTTGCCTATCTGCTCTCCCATCTGAGGTGCTCATTGACCTTCCTCTGCCTCTTCCTGTTCCTACCCCATCCGAGCACACACACTGAACGACCCCACACAAATCCCATCACTCTGCTCTCTACACTGGGCTTTGGTTTTGCCATCAGCTAATTTTCCTGAGGTCTTCTCACTCACCCTCTTTTCTTCCTACATATTCTCCCAGTCTCACTGACAGTCCCAGTGAGTGTCATACTTCCCTTGTTGTCACAGGGGTCCACCAGCCTGAGGGAACTCACAGGGGACCTTCTGTCCCAAGGGGACCTCAGCAGGTGCATGAACATCACACCCAGACCTGGATAAAGAGGGTGGACAAATGTGGGGAAGGAACTGAGCAGTGATGCCTGGACAGGTCTTGTCCTTCCAGCCCCTGCTGAGGTTCTCGGGACAAGAAGGTAACACATGAAATCAGTGCTGCTCATCAGAGCAGATTTTCCTTGTAGAAGTTTCTGAAGAAAATGCTGTTTACAACAGTAAAAGGCCGGCTGGAAAGGAGAGAAAGGTTGATAGACACTGACACGCATGTGCCCAGTGGCCGTGGTCCAGCTGCAGCATGGCTCTTCATTTGCCGCACAGCCAGAGGTAGGGGACACTGGAGTTGCCAAGTCCCTGAGAAGGCACTGGACACGTGGTCTCCGAGTGATCCAGCCCCAACTGTCCACGTTAGAGGGTTGTGGGAAGGGAAACTGAGTGGCTCCATGATGCAGAAGACAAAATCCAGGTGGATGGGACCGGAGATGTCCATAAATCTCTGAGTGGATCTCGTTCCTTCTACTGCATCCCCATCCAGCTGGAGTGGAGAGGGACCCAGGTGTGTCTAGCCCCTCTAGTCTCTCTGCCATCTCGCTGCCATCCAAATTTCCACATTCGGGGCCATTAGTGGGATAGACCAGACCCTGGGTCCTGGTCGACTGTCTTCCAGGGGAGACTCTCCAAGACTGTAGAGTTCCTGCTTTCCTGATTTCTTTGGCAAAAGTGAGCAGATAGAGCTTGTGAAAGGAACGGTCTCTCCTCTTCTTGCTTCCCGTTCTCAGCTGCTCCCTGTGCTGCTCACAAATGCAGTTCGTGCTCACGGGCGTCCTTAGTTTCAGTGTATTTTCTCCCTCACTAGTCTGCAGGCAGCCTGAGGGCAGAAGCTTCACCTTGTTCTCTGCCCCATCACCTGTGACTCGGACAGAGCTGCTTCTCGGTAGCTGTTCAGTAATTGTTGGTGGGAGATGAGAAACATTTGCTCAGAAATTATCTGTCCCACATCTAGGCTGCTAGCCGAACCCACCCAAGCCCCCACATCAGACCATGTGAAGTAATGTCTTTGTCCCTGCAGATGACCTACTCAGAGCTGCCCACGTGGTTCTGCCAAGAGAAGCTCCAGGGTCTCCTGTGTCAGACTCGCTCAGTGTGCATCCAGCCATGGGAACTCAGCTGTGCTGTGGTCATAGCTGCTAGGATCATGTCTCACTCCGTCTGCCCTCATGCTGATCTCCCATCAGGGATTCCATCACGTCAATGGGACCAAGTGAGAAGGAAGTAGCAGGTACACCAGATGTCCCCGCACACAGAGAAGCACCAGAAATGGATTATAAATCCCAAGAAAATCAAGGGTCCTGACATCATAGTCTAGTTCATAGGGAGTCCAATCATTTGGGGAAACAACAACATATTCCTTCAAATTTAAAAACAATTTAGTCTCTCCTGTATGCTCGGTCATGAGGAAAGAGACACCATGCTTCCTAAGCATGTTTGTGTTTCTGGAGCCAGATTTATGACCACTGGGTGTGCTATATCACTATATTTACCAGTAATCCACTCAACAACCAGCTTGGAAGAGCCAAAGAAGACTCCTAGCTGGTGCAGGTTACAATGTAAGTAGCTCTGCTCTTGATTCTTATGGTCCTGGAGCCCCACAGGTGTTGAAGTGGTATTTAATTGCTCATAGGGGCCTGATAGAGCCTCTGATACTAAGCACATCTTCTTTGGAAAGTAACTCTTATCCCATATAGAATAGACTTGACACTGGACTCTAGTAGACACTTAGTAGCAGAGCATGGGACATACCGAATGACCATGTTCCCCTGCCGACTGTCTTCAGCCATGCATTTTCTGGTCCATGAAATCATACCATCAGTCATGTCTAGTTACCTTCCATTATCAGGTGGAAGTTATATACAAACATAGGCTCCAGCAGGACCTGGGGACACAACTAAGTTGCATGAGCAGGCCCCTTACCATCCCGATGCACCTGGTCCTGCTACCAAGACCACCTCTAACCCTGATGGAGACAGGCGGAGAAGACAAACGGAGATCCACACAGCATATGTCTACATGTGGTTAAGTGCTAAGTAAAACAGGTTCAACTCTCCTACCTGGAAATCTTGTCCTGTGAGCATACTTGAACAAGTACATTCCAAAAAGCCACTCATGAAGCTGTGAGCTGGACATTGGTGTTAATCCGATGGAGCCACAGGTCCTTGAGAAATCAGAAACCTTCCTGGGAGAGAAAGGAGGCCTGTGGCCAACCCAGGCTGAGGGTGGCCTCCTCCCTGCTCCACTCGATGCAGAGAGTCTCCTGAAGCCTGCCTGCTGCTGCCAGGGGACCCGCCACCAGGCCGGGTCTGGCCCCGCTTCCTGCTGGAGGACACGGGCTCCCGGGAGCAGCAGACTTTGCAGAAGTGCAGGACCAACACCCAAAAGCAGGCCACAGTGTGGTTTGGAGGCAGACAAGGGACAGGTAGAGAAGGTCTGCAAAGTCCGCTATTAGAGACCAGGTCTGGGTTTAAAGCTGCCGATGCCTCTTTCTCTGTGAAGTCCATGCCTGGTGGGATTCCCACAGCTGTTTGGTTCGCTGAGACCTGCATGTGAGGCTTCTGAGCACACATCAGCCACAGGGAGGGAGAGGGCTCCGCAGACGTGTTGGGATTGGAGAGATGTATTTACTAGAGAGTGACAGAAAGTTGCATAGCAGTGTGGGAGAATCCTCAAGGAAGTCTCACAGGGGAGGCCTCGGCTTCACCAGATGGGCCTCCAAATTACTGTTCTCCATGCAGCACGTTTGAGGAGGAAGCAGGGATGGTGGCAATTCACCAGCGACTGTGTTGGGTGGGGGACATCAGTCAGGATCAAGGACTGGGAGGCAAAGCAGGGATGTTGAGCCCCTAAAGCTAGATTTGTGCAAAGCCGCCCTCCGGGTTGGGGGCAAAGAGCGTCCACCTCCACCATGGAAGGGGCCTCAGCCTAGATGTGTAGGGAGCACTGTCACATGCAATGGCCACTAATTAATCCTCATGCATGTGGGATGGGACAAGGAATTGTCACAGTTATGAGCACCTGCCCTTAGTACCTAGCCGTCCTGCTATATGTGGTATAGATTCAGGCAAACCAAAGTGCTGCCTGGATCCTGGGAAGCAGAAAGTCCTACTGGCTTGTTTCAAGGTAAGGCAAGAAAGGGTATTGTTAGAACCGGCTCCATCAGCAAACCCCACCCTAGGGAATCCAGGAATGAAAGCCAGGACATGAGGGGGTGTCAGAGTGATGAGTAGTTTTAGACGGAGAGGTAAAAGACCTTAGTAGATAAACTTTTCTGCTCCCTTGAAAGAGGAAGGACGCCTAGAAAAGGATGCTCTCTTCCAGTGGGCAGGGAGTGATACCAGGGTGGGCTCTGACCTGCGGCAGGCAGGCCGTGTGAGCAGACCAGCTCTAAAGCCCAAATGTGGCCAGATTTGATCCAACAAGAGCAACACACGTCCCCGCTCGAACCCCAGCACCTCCGGCTGCGCATTCTGGCTTCGATGCCTCTGTAACCCTTTCTAGGCAATGCAGTATTTACTAAGAATATTCTTAGTATTGGCATACTAATGGGGAAACCTTGTCTCGAGGGAGGAGTAGGAGATTCCCCGATATTCGGGGTGGGTGCGGCATTCCAGGAAGGAGAGCCATGAACAGGATGTCTGGGTCAACTCTCCAGCCCTGGGAGCAGCCAGCAGCCCCTGGGGCAGGCGGGAGAGGGACCAGGCAGGGAGGAGCCGGGTAGGAGGATGAGAGGGAGGCAGGAGCCTCTTTCCAGAGGGTCCAGTGGGTCACTGCACGTGCCTGCTGGGCGGGACAGGTAAACCCGTGTTTGGTGAACTGGTGCCCGTGAGGAGAGGGCCAGAGCCTTAAGGGACCACAAAGCTACAGGGACGGGACGGTTGCAAGTGCCCCAGAGAAGAGTTGTACCCCCACTATTAGAAAAAGGACAGAGTGTGAGATCCCACAGGACAGGGCAGCCTGTATCACAACTGACTGTTGTGGTTTGTCTTCTCCTTTCCCACCTCGGGGGACAGATTGTGCAGGGAGCTACAAGGACTCCTCCAAGAAGATGTGATGAGACACAGAAGATGTTATTCACCAAGATTCCAGAGGTTGAGGAGGCAGACCGGCCAGAGGAGGATACGGGACGAGCATTCGGAGCGGAGAGCCTGGACTCCCCTTTGAGGGAGGTCACTCGTTGGGAGAGAATGTCTTGGTTAGGAGGTGCACAGTGAGGGGTGCCGAACAGGTGGTCAGGCTGCGCGGGCAGCCCCCTTAGGGAAGCCTCCAGATGCCAGATGGAGTCACCGGCTAGCCAGGCGATTCACTCAAGTGGAGCATTCTGGAGGGATGCCAAGGGGCCAGATCTGAAACCCTGTCGGGGTTCCTAATGGAGAAGGCAAGGAGGGAACTAGGAGGACGCAGACCTCAGGTGTTACTGAAGCCTGAGGTTGGCGTGTTCATCACGGGGCTGTGAAAGTGAGATTCAGGCCGCGTTTAATGACGTTCCCATCTGGTTCCATACGGATTGCATTCCAAGAGCTGCTGGAGCAGATGAACTCCGGGTCGCTGGGTTTTCAGTGACAAGTGTGTCATCCATCGGTGGTGCATGGGGTTTTATGTCGGGTGGGCGCCCAGAAGGCGTCTCCCCGTTCAGGCTGGGTGAGTCAGCCGCAGCAGGAATCAGCCTCGCCTTCAGCGGGGACTGCGCTGATGGTCCTCCTCCTCTGAGCCATGGCCACCCCTCCCCCTGCGACACGAGCCCAGACAGGGCCCCTCACCGAGAACGCTGTACGGAAATTGAAGTGGCGACTTCCCAGAACATTCTGAACAACCGCTTCTCTGTCTCTCTCCTCCCGCAGCCCTCGTGACTAGCAAGCAACCCCCTTGGACTTTCTTGGTTTGAATTGTACTCTGTCCGGAAGAAAACTCGATTTGTCCCTCAGACTCCATGTCACAGGAGCTGTCTGCTTCGGCTCACTCAGCGTCTCACTCGTCTCCGGTTCTGAATACTCTCCGCAAGCCAAGTCCAGTGTGGACCGTTCGGATGGGGGTGAGGGACGGCAGGGATCGGAGAGAATGGAAGAGTCTTTTCCCTGGACAAATTCCTTTTCCTCAAAGCCAACAAGCTGACCTGTAAGAAGATGCTCGAGTTCACTAGTGATGTTATGGAACCTGGGCTGGATCGCCCGACGGAAGAACGAAGCGGCACCCGGAGCTCTTGGAGGACAGGAGGTGTATTGAACGCCGGCGGGCTCAGAGGAGAGTGGTCTCCAAAGGTCTGAGCCCCGAGCACAAAGGGGGCAATTTATACACTTCTACTTCTGCCTACTTGGCACTTTAGGCACGTGCGCGAAGCGGGGCAGGGAGAAGAACCCGGAAGAGCCCCGGGGCAGGGGCTGGACTCGCTCGCTGGCTCGGTCGGCCATCTCAGGACACAGATTTTCCTTAGCAGTGATCGGGAAAATAAGAAGTGAAACCAATGCCATCTTCATCTCTCAACCTGACAATCAGGAGAATGAGGTCCAGCCCCGGCGAGGCTGTGGAAAATGGGGACTCGCCTACACCGTTGGTGGGTGTGACAGTGTCGGAACGAGGGACAGTGTATGATGTCGTAAACGTACTGTGCCCTTTGAGCTTGAAATTCTACCTGCTGGAATATATTGCAGCAGGAGCAAAGCCTCATCGATGCTCTAAGAGACATGTTTGTGGATGCTATGGCTGGAACTGCTAATGGCCTTTCTGCTGTCTAGTCTTTCCATTTCTAACTACGTATTTGGTGGTAATTATGTCAGTTATGAAAGTGACATGTCCCAGACCTTTGTAGGACAAGGAGGGCTACTGAAATACAAGCAAGAATTCATCGGATGGAACTTGAGGAAAGCCCTCTCACCCTTCCCCTCTTTTCTCCTTTGTGGCGTCTGGACCTGATGGCTAGAGTCACAGCAGCCACTTTGTGACCTTGAGGATGGACGCCACACACTAAGGAACAGAAAAATACAAGAAGCCCGGGGCCTCAATGCCTCATAGAGTTATCATTCCTACCCTGAACTGTTTGCCTGCAGATTTGTCCTGAACACAAGAGAAAAACAAGCCCATGGTTTGTCTAGGTCACCATGATTGCATCTGTCACCGGCAGCCAGTATACAGGAGCCACTGCTGTTCGTGGTTTCATGTTCCGTGGTCAACCACAGTCAGGAAGTAGATGATCCTCCTCCTGACGCACGCTCAGAGGGTCAGGAGTAGCCTAATGCTACGTCTCAGTGCCGACAGCCCTGCCCTCGCATCCCTCATCACACGGACATTTTATCACCTCACATCCTCATATGAAGGAGGAGGGTGGGTGCAGAACAGGAAGATATTTTGAGAGAGAGACCACATCCACATAGCTTTTATACAGCACATTGTTAGGACTGTTCTATTTTTATTAGTACTATTGTTAATCTTGAACTGTGCCTAATCTGTAAATTAATCGTTATCACAGGTCTGTGTGTACAGGAAAACACATAGTGTCTATAGGGTTCGGTACTCTCTGTGCTTTCAGGCGTCACTGGGGGTCTAGGAGCGTGTCTCCTGGGGAGAAAGGGGGACTTCTGTATTCCTCACGGACACAGATATTGGTGGGAACCTTGTCTTAAAATAGAGGAATAATGTAGGCGGTCTAAAGGTCCCTAGCTTCCCCTTTCCTGAGGTTTTCCTGATCCGAGCCCCATCTCCGTCGGCAAGACCCTGACCCTCAACCTCTTTCTCATAGCAGAACTTGAGCTGGGCTCTGCTTGAGCACATTCCTCCCACGTTGCCAGAGGAGCAGCATGTAATTCAAGTATTTCTAAATTCCTGGAAAAGGAGACATGGAGTCACTGAGAGTCAAGACTTTTAAGTTGTGTTTAAAACCCCAAATTATATAAACAAAAACTGAGAAGTAGGAGAGAGAGCAAATGTGCTCCATTCTCACTGAACTAGGAATGGAAATAGCTGTCTGCTCCTGGCTTGACTAGGGACAAAGTAGGTTTAAAGTCTTCTTTATTATTTACAGGAAAGTGCTAGTAAAATTGAAAATAGGATGTTTACCTTCAGAATCATTGGGAGGTAGAGAGTCAAAGAAAGTCTATGTTAGTGGTCCATCGGTTGTATGGCCGGATACAAAAAATAAGTTAAAAGACCTTAAGCAGGCAATCTCACAACAGAATATTTATTAATTTGTGACCCATACATTTTAAAGCAGATGCCAAACATTAAAACCTATGCAATTACGAGGGGCGCCTGGGTGGCTCAGTCGTTAAGCGTCTGCCTTCGGCTCAGGTCATGATCCTGGAGCCCCGGGATCGAGTCCCGCATCGGGCTCCCTGCTCCACGGGAAGCCTGCTTCTCCCTCTCCCATTCCCCCCGCTTGTGTTCCCTCTCTCGCTGTCTCTCTGTCAAATAAATAAATAAAATCTTTTTAAAAAATTAAAAAAAAAAACCCTATGCAATTACGAGATACCCACGTCCATGAAAGAAACCCTATTGTAACACCTTGCAGCTGGAGACGACTTCATACATTAGCTCATCCCTCAAGGCTGCAAAGGCATTTAGAGTGAGAGCCCTAACCCAGCAGTATGGCCAAGCCAGAGTGCATACGGCCTTCTTGACTACTTTGCACGTTTGACTTAAAAAATTCAGGGCGGGGACATCTAGAAGCTAGGGAAATTAAGACGGTTTACGTTATTCCTCTACTTTAAAGTTTACAACAAACCTCCATGTCTGTTAGAAACACAGAGGGGGGCTAGTCAGAGAGATCTCACCCTGGTGACCTAAACACGCGGGAATCTGGGGTCAGCTTCTTGTCTGATTTAATCGGGTCATCTGTGAGGCCTCATCCTGTGCAGATGCAGAAGTCTGCCAGGCGCGGGACAGGGGCCAGCTCAGGGTTTTCTTGTTCTTTGTCTTGTGTGTGCCGTCTGCGGTCTGTGAACGCTGGGAGGAGATCTTTTCAACAACTCGGCCCGCTCAGCTCAGTGACATCCATGCTCCCAAACAGCAAGAGTCTGGACTTGACCCAGTGAGGGGCAGGGCCCTCGAGGCTCAGTTCGCCCACACGTGGCCGTCTGACAAACACACCAAGCCCGAGAGCCAGGGACATTCTATTGCATGTTCAAAGCGGGGTTTTTTCCTGATCAAGATGAAAATACGAATAGACACTCTTGTATTTTCTTTGTATACCGCAGTGGACCATCTCATACCGACACACTGGAGACCAGTACTTTATCTAAAAAGGTACCTTTTCTCGATGTTATTTTAAAATGGTCAGAAGGACCTACACAGAGGAACTAAACGTGGACGCTCGGGACTGCCTAAAGCTTGGGCAGAGGACCCGAGTAGACGGTTTTTAAAAGAAGACACCCGACGGTGGGCAGGTACATGGAAGATGTCAACATGGCTGATCACCAGGGAAACGCAAGTCCAAACCAGCGTCTGTCGGGCTGGCTGCTACCAAAGGGCAAGGGACAGAGTGTTGGCGGGAACGCAAACTGGTGCAGCCAGCGTGGAAAACAGTGCGGCGCTTCCTCCGGGCACTGAAAACACAACCACCGCATGACCCCACATTCGGCGCCTGGGCGTTGATGCGGGCACTGGAATCACGACGTGGGCGAGTCTGCCCCTCCCCGTGCTCACTGCCGCAGGAGTGACAAGAGCCAAGACGTGGGAACGCCTCGGTGTCCACGAGGGGCCAGCAGACCTAGATGTGGCGTATGCATCCCCTGGAGCACTATCCGGCCATAGAAAGAAGGAAACTGCCCCCTTGGGACAACATGGCTGGACTCTGAGGGCCATACGCTGGGTGAACGAAGTCAGACAGAGAAAAACGAATCCTCCATGTTCTCACTTAGGTGAGCAATCTAGAAAAGCTGGAGCCACTCGTGATGGGCACCGGGTGCTGCCTGGCCATGCGGAATCACGGCATCGAACGCCTGAAACAGTGTCACCCTGCATGTTAACTCACTGGAATTCAAATAACGAAAAAAGCTGGACTCCTAGAAACAGCGTAGAGCGGGGTTGTCAGCGCTGGGGGTGACGGGGAGTGGGGAGAGCCTGCCAAAGACACACGCTTGCAGGGCTCCGAGGGGTAAGTCCGGGGCAGAGGCTCGGCTTGCCGACTACAGCTCACACCAGAGTCGGGTCTGAGAAAGGTGTTCAGGAGCCAAGTTCGATCCCGGTGCCCCGGGGTGTGCCTCCCACCTGTCCCCTGGTTTTCTCACCTGTCCAGCGGTGACCCGGGCTCCTGCCTCCCTTCTCGGGGGTGGGTTATGGGGCCAACTCTGAGGCCCTTCTGGCTCTGGCATCCCGGGATTCTAGGTCCGGATGGACAGGACCGGGCTCCCTGTCACCGCTCTGATCTCCATCTCCTACCTGTCTTGCCTGGGCTCACGTATGCTCCGGCCACACTGACCTCTTGCTCCTGGAACAGGCCAGGCAGGCTCCCACCTGAGGGCCATTCCACGGGCTGTCGCCTGTGCCAGGAAAGTGACCCCCAGATGTCCACGGTCACGCCTCACCTCCTTCCAGTCTTTTCTCGGAAGTCTCCTTCTTGAGGAAGTCCGTTCTGACCTGCTGGTGTAACCTGGAAACCACACTCCCAGGTGCTGAGCCCCCACCCTGCTCTTTCATCCAGAGCCCTGCTCACCTTAGCTACTGTGGTTCCCACGCACGGCCTTTCCCTCCTAACACAAGGAGGAAGGCAGAGGGTTTGCTGGGTGCGCTCGTGCATGTGTGTGAGCCCCTGGAGCAGGGCTGGTGCACAGTAGGAGCTCATGCACTGTTTGTGGAAGGAATGAGTCCACCATCGGGGAGGATCTGGGTTGGGGGCTGACGGGCCCACCCTAAACAGCTCACAGTCAGTGCATGGATGAGTTGTGCTACCGTGACCATATAGGGGTTCAGGGAAAGGAGCCCGTAGCCCACGAGCTGCCCTGTGGGGAGAGAGAGAAGAAAAATGTTGAGGACTATCCAGCCCAGACCCCACAGAGAGACCTGGGATAAAGGAAGCCCAGCACGCGGGACAGACTGGTCAGTTGGGTGGGGTCCCCAGGAAGCTGGGCTGGCGGGAACCCTGCAGGGGCACTGGACCCGGTCAGGGCAGGAGGCTTCCTTGCACTCGTGGGCTTCCCCAGGTTCTGAGGTGATGGCGTTGGAATGACTGATGGGGAGTTTAAGAGCAAGGGGAAGGTCCCCGTGACGCCAGACCCTCAGACCCCCCGGGAGGACAGCATTCATGCCCCAGGGAAGGAGGCATGGGTGGCTCTCCTGGCTCACAGTCACTGAGGGTCCCCGATCCCTGCTGGGATACCAGCCTGGGCTTCTCAGGTCAGCAGCCTTGAGGGAGGTGCAGGGGGGTGGCTGTGGTCGGCAAAGGGCCGCTGTGGACCCCAGAGGCTACAGAGATGCCACCACAGGCTTGTTTCCTCTACCTGGGGGTGTGAGACAGGAGGGAGGCTGCCCTGGGTCAGGCCTGGCCTCCGTCCCCCTCAGTGTGGCTTCTCAAGGACTGCCAGGGACTCGGGTCTGGAAAGACCAGTGGCCTAGGAGGCCTGAGACCTGGGCCTGGCTCTGCGCCATCAAGGTGTCCAGACCGTGGGCTCAAGATCACCTAAATGGTCCTGACTTTGTTCATCTGTAACATGGACAGTAATGCTGAGCCCCAGCTGCCCCTCACAGGGAACGAGCTTGTGAACTGGAGAATACTGGAACGGGGATGGGGGCTGGTGATGACTGAGCTCCCTGGTCTCCTTGGAAGACTGGAGGCCCCGGCAAGTGTCTGTGATGGGGCCACAGCAGGAACCAATGAAGCAGTGTCCCTTTTGTCCATAGCTCAGACTTCTCCCGTCCTTACCTACTTAGAACTCACCCCAGGCGAGTGTGCGTGTCTTTGCCTTGGTCAGGGCCCTCAGCCTGTAGGAATGGAGACAGTTCTCAATTGTCTCACACAGAGATCTGCAGCTGGTTTATCTCCTGTAAACCCACAGCAAATTATATTACAGATTTTTTCAAAAGTTCCCTATAATGCAGAGACGTAAAGAGTTGCAAAGAAGTGCCATATATGAGGATCTGTCATTGACTGTCCTGGGACTTGGGGACGAGTTCAGCATTCTCTGCGTGCTCAGCAACCATCTGTGGAGGGCAAGGGATAGCAAGGGATGGCCACCCAGGTCTGTCCCCACCTTCTGCTGCGCTGCCGCCCCTGAGCCCTGGGCACGCAGGAAGGGCAGCTCTGAGCCCCGGCCCCAGACGGAGAGAACATCTCCTGAGAATGAGGTGTGTCCCAGGGTCCCAGGGCCTTTCTGCCGAGGGGCCTGAGCTGTGCTGGCCTTTCTGCTCAGCCTCAGGCCCTGGGCTCATGGGTGTGCTGCTGGGACCAGAGAACGGAGGCAGAGCCTGCAAGGGCTGCAGGCCAGAGGCCCCCTGAGTGGCTGCATTGTGATTCCAACAGCTGGAACCCCAGTCAGATGCAGGCCCAGGGCGCACTCTTGCACAGGACATCCTGTGGCGTTCGTGAGGGATGGAAGATTCGTGCCTTGGTGTCACCTCCTCATTAATTTCTGCCTCTCAGAGCTGCTGCCCTGCGTGACTGTGTAGCAAAGTCTCTCTCCCCTTCTCGTGTGTTATCTGACCCTCACCTCCCTGCTGCCCCACTCAGCTCTCTGACACCAGCTGTGGGGCGTCCTCGCCAGCACCCAGTGCTCTCTGTGACCGTTCAATTCCGTTCTGACCCCACCTA